GGTTAACATTAGGGCTGTGCATTGGCGAGAATTTGGTGATATGATACATATCATGATACAAGGGTCACAATATGAAATATGGTGATATATTGTGACACTGTAAGCAAGGCAAATTGTTGCCATTTTTATCCAATATTCTTATTTTGAAAAAAGGTTTTATTTTCATGCAGTCAGAAGAGCACAGCATTTATATTTTACATTTGTTCTCACAACCTCCATCCATTAAACCTTAAATAAGTATCAGAAATTGGGTATCAAGAAATGAAAAATCGCAATACTTCAATGTATCAATATTTTTCTTGCACCCCTAATTAGCCTAATTAGCTTACAAATTTGCCTTTTAAAAGTGCTGAATCGACCTTTATGTCATGTTTTTTAATCTATTTTTGATTTTAAAAAATTACTTTATATTTTTAAAGTTAATTAAATCTTCTCAAAGTTGCAGTTTTGTGTTAAATATGTATTATGTATATTATATACAGTATATATATATAGATTACCTGAACATCTGATAGCAGCTATTATTTTATTACTTTACAGATTTAGAGTAAAGAAAAAATATATATTTTAATTTAGTTCTGTGACTGAGTTACTATGTGCAGCATTTTGACACAATTTTAAGAATAAGTCGTAACAGTATCAGTGTCAATAAGTTCTTTTTTTCTTTTTAATGCACGTATTTTTCTTGTTGCTCTTTCGTGCCCAGCAACATATTTCTGTTACCTCTGTAGCCTGATCAGCCTGGTCTCTCATGTTGATAAAAGCCTGCAGTTCTCTGTCTGATCCACGTCTGATGGACTCAGAGGGTATGTTTGAGCTGGCCCACAGATCTGCCGTTCTTCTCCGGCTCTGGTGGTTTTCCCACCGACTTCTTCCCGATGGAGGTCCAAAGAGGCTCTCCTCATCCGTGTTACTGTCGCTGGACTCGCTGGATAAAAGTCCTGTTTGTTTGTAAGCTGAAGTGTTGTGCATGCTGAGGAGACAAGTCGGCGGTGAGCAGAAGTAATTAGTTAAAAAAAGTGAGGAAAACTTGAGCAGAGCATTTGTGTTCATCACATCCATCAGATATGATGTTTCTCTTACCATAAAATAGCCTTCTTCTCTTCTCGGTTGTGCTTTGGGACGTGACAGCAGCAGAGAGTGAAATTAGCCCCCATTTCCAAACAACAAGGGGTCAAAGTGGATCTATGTTCCTTCAAAATACCAAACAGTTCTCCGTTTTGTTAAAAATAGCATAAATCTTTCCAGAATCCTTGTAATTTAAAAATTCCAAATAAAAATAATACAACTTTTAAATGTCCAGGAGTAAAAACATTTAGGCCACATCCTAACTTGTTGTGTCCTCCTCTCTATCCTGGCCTGACAAACAGCCCCTCCTGGCTCCGGTGAGAGCTATCTGCCAATTATCCACGTGAATAGAAACAGGAGACAACAACACACAACAACACACAAACACATGGGACAGCTCAGGAATGAATGACACATTTATTCTGCAACTACTGATGGTGCAGAATGAAGGGATGCAGGCAGAGACTTATTACTTTATTTCGCAAACAAAGGTTCTCTTTAAAATTTAAATATCCTTACATTATCTCAAAAAGTGCTTTGATTAAAAATAATCTTTTTTTACAGTGGTTGATGGGATAATATTCTGTTTATGTCCATGACAAATTTGTTTTTTACCCAAACTAATGATCATTTTTTAATAGTCAGCAAAACATCCAGTTTTTAGTCTCAAAGTTGTTCAAGTTCTCCCCAAAAGAGGGCAGCATTGTCTCATTGCATACACTGGACCTGTTCTCACTCTATGTGAGTTTAGATATACATCAGGATCACATTTTGTTATAAGTCATCCTTTTTAGACATAAATGTAAGTAAAACCAAAGAAATGATTACTGATTTCAGACGAAACAGAAATGCCATCTCTCTGAACTTAAATGATCAGGTGGTTGAAGTTGTGGAAGAGTGTAAATATCTGGGTACCAACATGGGTACTCTATGTAAGAAAGCCCACCGACATGCACTTTTATCACAAACAAAATAATTTTAACGTTGTTTTATGAGAATATTTTATTGAATCTGTTTTTACTTTTTTCTTTTATTTGCTAGTACAGGGCATTGACACAGAAACAAAAAACATGCATACACCACATTATAAGTCTTTGCAGCAAAATTGCCAAATGTTTCACTAAATAACTTCTCTACTGTCCACAAGATGGCTTAAGAAGGCTCAGGCAATTTTAGCTGAGCCCACTGGTCAGAGAGTTTTCTCTCCATCAGGACAACGATTTGCCTTTTTTTTAAACTCATTTCATATAAAAATAAAAATTTTATACACAATAAAGAAAAAAATCACAGAAAGGAGGCAGAAAGAAGAAAAGGAATCTTAATATATCTGCCCCTTTTGTTCCAAAATTAATTTCAAACAATAATAACCACAAAACAAAATAAAAACTTCAATTCCTTTTCAAACAACAACTTTTGATATACATTATTCAGTTTCATATTTCTTCAAC